TTGGAGAACCGATCCACAACGACCAGTAATGTAGTATTCCCCTGTGAGGGGGGAAGGTCTGTGACGAAATCCACCGAGAGGTGAGACCATGGTCGTTGTGGAACGGGCAGGGGTTGTAACTTACCCCTGGGCAGGTGTCTAGGCGCCTTACACTGGGCGCACACTGAGCAGGAGGAGACATAAACCCTCACATCCCTGGCTAACGTTGGCCACCAGTACTTAGCGCTAAGGCAGTGCACAGTCCGGCCAATACCAGGATGTCCAGAGGAGGGTGACGTGTGAGCCCAATATAACAATCGATCCCGAACCTCGAGCGGAACGTACGTCCGACCCACCGGGCACTGTGGAGGACTAGGGTCGGTACGCAACGCCCGCTCGATTTCCGCATCGACCTCCCACAATACCGGTGCCACCAGACAAGACTCCGGCAGTATGGGAGTGGGCTCCACGGACCTCTCCTTCGTGTCAAACCGCCGAGACAGTGCGTCTGCCTTACCGTTCTGGGACCCAGGGATGTACGTGATCTTAAATACGAAACGGGCAAAAAACATGTTCCACCGCGCCTGGCGAGGGTTTAATCTCCTAGCTGCCCAGATGTACTCCAGGTTACGGTGGTCAGTCAAAATGAGAAAAGGGTGTTGAGCCCCCTCAAGCCAATGCCTCCACACCTTTAGGGCCTGTACCACGGCTAACAGCTCCCTGTCCACTACGTCATAATTTCGCTCTGCCGGGCTGAGCTTTTTGGAGTAAAAAGCACAGGGGCGGAGTTTAGGTGGCGTGCCGGACCGTTGCGAAAGTACGGCCCCAATACCGGCCTCTGACGCGTCAACCTCTACCTGAAATGGTAAAGAGGGATCCGGATGCGCCAGCACCGGAGCCGTAGTAAACAGGTCCTTCTGTCTCCCAAAAGCCCTGTCCGCCTCGGCTGACCACTGCAGACGCACGGGACCCCCCTTCAACAGAGACGTTATGGGAGCTGCCACCTGTCCAAAACCCCGGATAAACCTCCGGTAGTAATTTGCAAACCCCAAAAACCGCTGCACCTCTTTAACAGTGGTTGGAGTTTGCCAATTACGCACGGCTGACACACGGTCTACCTCCATCTTCACCCCTGACGCAGACAACTGATAACCCAAAAAGGAGATCGACTCCTGGAAAAACAGACATTTCTCTGCCTTGACATACAGGTCGTGCTCCAACAGCCTCCTCAACACTCGACGCACCAGGGCTACATGCTCGGCTCGGGTGGAAGAGTACACAAGTATGTAATCAATATACACGACCACACCCTGCCCCTGCATGTCCCTGAAAATCTCATCTACGAAGGATTGGAAGACTGAAGGAGCGTTCATCAACCCGTATGGCATGACGAGATACTCATAATGACCTGAGGTGGAACTAAATGCTGTCTTCCATTCATCGCCCCCTCTAATGCCCACCAAGTTATATGCGCTCCTGAGATCTAGTTTTGTGAAGAAACGCGCCCCATGCAATGACTCAGTCATAGTCACAATCAGCGGGAGTGGATAACTGTACTTCACCATGATCTGATTGAGACTACGGTAATCAATGCACGGGCGCAAACATCCATCCTTCTTCTTCACAAAAAAGAAGCTTGAGGACGCAGGGGAAGTGGATGTCCGTATGTATCCTTGTCTCAGAGATTCAGCTATGTAAGTCTCCATAGCTCTCTTCTCCTCCTGAGACAGAGGATACACATGGCTCTGTGGAAGCGCTGCTCCTGCCTGGAGGTCTATCGCACAATCTCCCTGCCTATGGGGAGGCAACTGCATCACCCTCGATTTACTGAACACGATTGCCAAATCCTCATACTCGGGGGGAATGTGCAGTGCGGGCACCTGGTTTGGACTCTCCACCGAGGTCGCCCCCACGGAAACACCTAGACATCGCCCCACACACTGGGCAGACCACTCCTTAAGAGCCCTCTCTTGCCACGAAATAGACGGATGTTGGGTAATCAACCAGGGGAGCCCCAACACCACCGGATACGCAGGAGAGTCAATCAGATATAGCTGAATAGTTTCCTCATGACCCCCCTGCGTCCTCATCCTAAGTGGCGCAGTGACCTCCCTAATCAACCCTGATCCCAAGGGACGGCTGTCTAAAGCATGGACAGGAAATGGGGCGTCGACCGGAAGAAGGGGAAGCCCTAGTTTTAAACAAAAATGTCGACAAAATTCCCAGCTGCACCTGAATCGACTAGCGCCTTATGCTGGGAATGAGGTGCAACCTGTGGAAAATGTACAGGTAAACAGACGTGCACAACAGAGAGCTCTGGGTAAGTGGGACGCCTACTCACCTGGAATGACTCCCCAGTGCGTGGCCTGTCGTCCTCTCCGCTAGGAGACCCTCCCCAGCACCAAGCCGCAGTGTGCCCTCCACGGCCACAGTTGGTGCAAGGAACAGCCCCCCTCGGGCTCCTCCTCCTCCTCTCTCTAGCGCCAGCACCTCCGAGCTCCATAGGGCTCGGCTCGGAGGTGCTGGAGGGTGGAAGGGACGACCCCCACTCGGTGCGTCCGCGGCTAGCCAGCAGGGTGTCAAGCCGGATGGACATGTCCACCAGCTGGTCGAAGGTAAGATGGGAATCCCTGCAGGCTAACTCTCGACGGACGTCCTCCCGTAGACTACATCGGTAGTGGTCGACGAGGGCCCGCTCATTCCACCCTGCATCCGCTGCTAGAGTCCGGAACTCCAGGGCGAACTCCTGTGCGCTCCTCCTCTCCTGTCGAAGGTGGAACAGACGCTCCCCCGCCGCCCTCCCCTCTGGTGGATGGTCGAACACGGCCCTGAAGCGGCGGGAGAACTCAGCGTAGGTGATGGTGGCGGCGTCTATTCCCCTCCATTCGGCGTTAGCCCACTCTAACGCCTTGCCGGTGAGACAGGAGATGAGGGCGGAGACGCTCTCGTATCCCGAGGGCGCCGGGTGTATGGTGGCCAGGTAGAGCTCCACCTGCAGGAGGAACCCCTGACATCCAGCTGCGGTACCATCATATGCCCTCGGGAGCGAAAGCCGAATACCGCTGAGTTCCGGTGCTGGAAGAGGAGGACTGGTCGATGTTGATGGTAAGGTGTGCCAGAGGTGTGGGCACCTGTCTGGTGACCAAACGGTGCAGAGTGTTCGCCACCTCGTTCATGGCGGCCTCAAGTCGCCAGATCATGGTGTCTTGATGGCTGATCCGTTCCTCCAGCGACTTGGGTGCCGCCGCTGCTTCTGCTGACTCCATAGTGGTGTGTTATTCTGTCACAACGGCTGATGTAGATGTGGTGAAGGAGTCAAACGCAGACACAGAAGCTCAGTCCAATACTTTACTGAACACGACCAAAAATATACAAAACACTGGCCTCAAAACAAACAAGAGGCGGACGATGCGCAACAATGCGCAAAAGGCTAGTATTCCAAGGCGCACGAAAACAGTACAGTGCGACGACAGGGAAAACAACAAACAAACAACGAGCCGACCTGATGACAGGCGAACAATAACACACAACACAAAACTAACCAAACGGGAAACTTATAGAGGACATAATCAACTAAACAGGACACAGGTGTACACAATCAGACAAAACCAACAGACAGCGAAAACATCAAACGGTGATAGCTAGTACTCCGGGGACGACGACCGCCGAAGCCTGCCGGAACAAGGAGGAGGAGCAGCCTCGGCCGAAACCGTGACATCCCCATTAGCTACTTCCTGGGGTCCAAACACACCAAAGCACCCACATTACATATAAAACAAAATGTAAAACAGTGAACTATGTTTGTACTGAATGAGCTAAAACAGTACATCATATAACATCCCTACACCAACACAATTCCACAACACAAAATGTTCAATACCACCATACAACAATATCACAATATGTGCTTATGCATGTGTCTGTACCTTTGTGTGTGTCTTCACAATCCCCTTTGTTCAATAATGTGTATTTGTACCTGCTTTTTAAATCTGTTTCTACTGCTTGCATCAGTTACCTGATGTGGAATAGAGTTCCATGTAGTCATGGCTCTATGTAGTACTGTGCACCTCCCATAGTCTGTTCTGGACTTGTGAAGAGACCTCTGGTGGCATGTCTTGTGGGGTATGTATGGGTGTCCGAACTGTGTGCTAGTATTTCAAACAGACAGCTCGGTACATTCAGCTTATCAACACCTCTTACAAAAACAAGTAATGATGAAGTTAATCTCTCTTCTACTTTGAGCCATGAGAGATTGACATGCATGTCATTAATGTTAGCTCTCCGTGTACATTTAAGGGCCAGCCGTGCTGCCCTGTTCTGAGCCAGCTGCAATTTTCCCAAGTCCCTCTTTGTGGCACCTGACCATACTACTGAACAGTAGTCTAGGTGCGAAAAAACTAGGGCCTGTAGGACCTGCCTTGTTGATAGTTTTGTTAAGAAGGCAGAGCAGCGCTTTATTATGGACAGACTTCTCCCCATCTTAGCTACTGTAAAGGATATGGATATGCAAAGGATATGCTGATGTTGACACAAAATGTGCAGTGGACAAGCACACGGGTGAAAATAACCCGGCGATACAACATACAAAGAGCTCCACCGAGCTACTCTAACCTCCACAATAAACAATCACACACAAAGACAAGGGGGCAGAGGGAACACTTATACAGGTACTGATGAGGGGATATGAACCAGGGTTGTGTAATAAACAAGACAAAACAAATGGAATGATGAGATGAGGAGTGGCTAGAAGGCCGGTGACGACGAACGCCGACGCCTGCCCGATCAAGGAGAGGAAGCAGCTTCGGAGGAAGTCGTGACAATTTAAAATGTTAATATTTTACCTAAGCAGAGTATTGTGTCACTAATTGAGTTTGCACTTTTGGGACTATCCCATTGTTTTCTCTGTACTAGGTAAATAAACTAACTAGTATTTCACATAACAATATGTAAGGCACAGATACACATTTTGAGTGTAAAAATGTAAGAGACAATCTAGACAAACACAGGTGGAGAATCCAACAATGCAGACCATGGATATTGATAGAGACACGTATGCCAACAAGCCCAGAAAAAAAGGATGGCGTTGGTATACATTTTCAGGTATCAATGCAAATACAGACACACAGAGAAACACATACACACACAAACCACTTTCTCAGACGAGTACCTATTTGTCCCCTCACAATTCTGGATTATATATATATTTTGTTTTTAGCATTACGCAAGAGAGTTTATAATACCCTGTGATTCAGCTAATTTTCAGTGGTGGAGGAGACCATCCGGAGTTGCTACAGTGTGTCTGGGGCTGCTGTGTGTTCTCCTACTGGCTGGGATCATAGGCCTGTCTGTCTACTGTAAGTTTATAAGTTTATGATGTTTTCACTAATACATTCTTCATCATCAGTAGTTTAATACTTAGATGTTCAAAGGACCACAATAGGGACATTACTGTGTATACTATATCCACTTGTCGTGACATGACTTACTTTAATGTATGACTGTTATTTATCGAATCACCTAACTATTTTTAATTGTCACTTGATTAAATTAATCATGTAACAATTAACTCATTAGGAATTTGGGGCACCACGGAAGAAGTTGTTTAACGAGTTACCATCTCCTGAATTAAACTCTTAGAAGATACAGTTGAAGTCGTAAGTTTGCGTAAACTTAGGTTGGGAGTCAATAAAACTTGTTTTTCAACCACTCCACACATTTCTTGTTAACAAACTATAGTTTTGGCAAGTCGGTTAGTACATCTACTTTGTGCATGACACAAGTAATTTTTCCAACAATTGTTTACAGACAGATTATTTCACTTATAATTCACTGTTTCACAATTCCAGTGGGTCAGAAGTTTACATTCACAAAGTTGACAGTGCCTTTAAACAGCTTGGAAAATTCCAGAAAATGATGTCATGGCTTTAGAAGCTTCTGATAGGCTAATTTACATAATTTGAGTGAATTGGATCTGTACCTGTGGATGTATTTCAAGACCTACCTTCAAACTCAGTGCCTCTTTGCTTGACATCATGGGAAAATCAAAAGAAATCAGCCAAGAATTGTAGACCTCCACAAGTCTGGTTCATCCTTGGAAGCAATTTCCAAACATCTGAAGGTACCACGTTCATCTGTACAAACAATAGTACGCAAGTATAAACACCATGGGACCACGCAGCCGTCATACTGCTCAGGAAGGAGACGCGTTCTGTCTCCTAGAGATGAACGTACTTTGGTGCGAAAAGTGCAAATCAATCCCAGAACAACAGCAAAGGACCTTGTGAAGATGCTGGAGGAAACAGGTACAAAATTATCTATATCCACAATAAAACGAGTCCTATATATACAGTATCTCACAAAAGTGAATACACCCCTCACATTTTTGTAAATATTTAAGTATATCTTTTCATGTAACAACACTGAAGAAATGACACTTTGCTACAATGTAAAGTAGTGAGTGTACAGCTTGTATAACAGTGTACATTTGCTGTGCCCTCAAAATAATACAACACACAGCCATTAATGTCTAAACCGCTGGCAACAAAAGTGAGTACACCCCTAAGTCAAAATGTCCAAATTGGGCCCAAAGTGTCAATCTTTTGTGTGGCCACCATAATTTTCCAGCACTGCCTTAACCCTCAGGCATAGAGTTCCCCAGAGCTTCACAGGTTGCCACTGGAGTCCTCTTCCACTCCTCCATGATGACATCACGGAGCTGGTGGATGTTAGAGACCTTGCACTCATCCACCTTCCGTTTGAGAATGCCCCACAAATGCTCAATAGGGTTTAGGTCTGGAGACATGCTTGGCCAATCCATCACCTTTACCCTCAGCTTCTTTAGCAAGGCAGTGGTCATCTTGGAGGTGTGTTTGGGGTCGTTATCATGTTGGAATACTGCCCTGCAGCCCAGTCTCCGAAGGGAGGGGATCATACTCTGCTTCAGTATGTCACAGTACATGTTGGCATTCATGGTTCCCTCAATGAACTGTAGCTCCCCAGTGCCGGCAGCACTCATGCAGCCCCAGACCATGACACTCCCACCACCATGCTTGACTGTAGGCAAGACACATTTGTCTTTGTACTCCTCACCTGGATGCCGCCACACTAGCTTGACACCATCTTAACCAAATAAGTTTATCTTGGTCTCATCAGACCACAGGACATGGTTCCAGTAATGGTGTTGTAGTTTTAAACCATTTTGTAATGTTTAGCTCACGTTTCACGCTTCTTGGTCTGTAGAGTTGCAACCATTTGCAACGTTTAGCTCACGGTTCACGTCTGCTGGTCTAAAGGTTGATTTGTTTTGTAGTGTCTTGGCTCTGTGTCTTGGCTCTGTAACAGATGAACTTTACTCTACTTTGCTGAAACATCTGGAAAGCATTACTAAAGTTCCTGGAAAAAAGGATATGGGGAGATATGTGAAAAAGGCCAGGGATTGGATATTAAAATCACGCCATACTATGTCATATATGATATAAATACCATGTCTTGAACAGAGAGAGGGGGGAATAGCGAATTACAGAATTGGCTCCTGCTGTTCTTCAGATATCTGCAGGTATCTGTAAATCTGACGCTGAAACTCTTTGTTATAATAAACCTTTATAAACAAAGTACAGTGTCGGCGGACTTCTTATCATCACGGCATTATCAGCAAAGGTTTGTTTTTGGCCACCACAGTTTTTCAAGGATTTTCACTCGGGGTAAAAGGGGCGTTCCATCATGTTTACACGATCTCTGATGTCACTCGGGGCGTGGCTAGTCACTGTGCATAGTTTATATGAAAACCTATTATCTCATTAGAAGACTAAAATCACATTCCTGTCTTCACCAAAATACTCTCATACTTAATCATATATTTTATACAACATTTAGATGTAAACTTGTTAGATAGAATATGTACACTTTCCGAGTTACAGTTATTACTTGATACCATCCTTAATGACATCACAAAATAATAAACAATATGACATGAATATTCTTTAGATCCCCACTGACCATTTCCCACATCCTTTTATGTAGGAATGTTGTTTTATTATCCACTTTTGGATGTTGGAGACTTGGAGGGAAGACTTCCTTTGTCTCACAGGGAAATTCTTTCTCCCATACTAGAGACCAAAAGGAGTCCTTTTCTGCAAACTATTTATGACCGGCTGTTAAGTCATAAAACTGGCCCCCAGGAAAGGGGGTGTTCAAACCTTTGCCTAGCAGGAATGTTTGATACTCAACCCATGAGGGCAAGTTATGACATACTTGTGTGGCTGAATTTTGTTAAAGATTGTTTTAAAATTCTATGTTTCTATTCCAACAGATAACCGAGTCATTGGTCATTACTACTCTGCAGAGAGATCCCAGGGGTCCAGTTATAACACCCTGACTAAAGAGAGAGACCAGCTACAGACCAGTAGTAACACCCTGACTAAAGAGAGAGACCAGTTACAGACCAGTAGTAACACCCTGACTAAAGAGAGAGACCAGTTACAGACCAGATACAACACCCTGACTAAAGAGAGAGACCAGTTACAGACCAGTTACAACACCCTGACTAAAGAGAGAGACCAGCTACAGACCAGTAGTAACACCCTGACTAAAGAGTGAGACCAGATACAGACCAGTTACAACACCCTGACTAAAGAGAGAGACCAGTTACAGACCAGTTACAACACCCTGACTGCAGAGAGAGACCAGCTACAGACCATCTACAACACCCTGACTAAAGAGAGAGACCAGCGACAGACCAGCTACAACACCCTGACTAAAGAGAAAGACCAGCTACAGACCAGTTACAACACCCTGGCTAAAGAGAGAGACCACTTGAAGGAAGAGCTAAACAAACAGAACAGTGGTAAGAAACTGGAAAATGACTTGACTGTTTTGTGGTACTCCAGACCTGCTAGATCAGTTGACTTTTTCACGGTACTCCAGACCTGCTAGATCCATAGACATTAAAACCAGTAATAATGCTGAAGTCGTCCACTTATTTCTTATGGAAAACTCCCGATGGCAAATGAAGCCGGAAGTATTTTAATTTGAAGCGAACCATATTGCTGAATGAGGCTGAATGGCACCAAAAAATTGCTAAGGATCATGTTGAAATCAGCCGTAACTAGCAAAGTATCATGGTCGATGTAGTCGTTTTCCTCCTGCCTGAGAGAGCATGCATGAGGGTGCGAGCATCCTTGTAGCCTGCCGGCCTGTGATTGGTCTGTGCAAGCACGTGGCCGCCAGCCTCCTCGTAGCCTGCCGGCCCGTGATTGGTCTGTGTCAGCACGTGGTCCTGTGCGACGACAAATGTAGTGATCAGAATTGATCACGATTTAATTACATTTCCTGATTTGTAGAGAACATAAAAATAATTAACATAGGGGATCAAACTTAATCTTAGTAAACACATTTTAGAGCCCAAAACAGTATCTTAAAAAACAATGGTGCCGTTCTGGCGATCGTAATGTACAGACCAGGTTTTTTGGGGGGCACCGCTAGGTTGCTTTGCAGTAGCCAACCAGCAGAGCTCTTGACTTCACGCTCCAGACCGGACACTGGAGGCCTGGCTAGATCCAAATAGTAGCATATTTGTTTTCTTAACAAATATATTTTAGGTGCGCTTGATTTACTGTATCTTTACCGATCAGGGTGGGACAGATTACATTAAAAGTAATTTAATGTAATCCATTGGATTACCTCGAAATGAGTACTGTGGATGCTTATCAGTTGATACCAGGCTGCTGAATAGGCATCTTGTTTGTCATGTGTGTCTTCCCAGTGGTTGGAAAGTATACAGGATGGAGCTGTGTTGATTAATCAATTTAGGTCCTGATGAAATGTGTGATGGTTCATTTTTTTTGGAGTTTTGGATATTTAAAATAGACTAGAACAGATCAGTTCATGTTCAGTAAGGGCTATATTTAATCAGATCCGGTTTAGCCGACAGCCACATATCAGTTGTTTTGGTGAACCTGCGTTAGAGCTGTCAAATCCACAAGTAGCTCCTGCCACTATACACTGAGTGTACAAAACGTTAGGAACACCTCCCTATTATTGAGTTGCACCCCCTTTTGCCCTCAGAACAGCCTCAATTCGTCAGGGCATGGACTTTACAAGGTGTCAAAAGTGTTCCACAGGGATTCTGGCCCATGTTGACTACAATGCACAGTTGTGTCAAGTTGGCTGGATGTCCTTTGGGTGGTGGACCATTCTTGATACAAACAGTAAACTGTTGAGTGTGAAAAACCCAGCAGCTTTGCAGTTCTTGACACACTCAAATTGGTGCGCCTGGCACCTACTACCATACCCTGTTCAAAGGCACTTCAATATTTTGTCTTTCCCATTCACCCTCTGAATGGAATCATACACAATCCACTTCTCAATCGTCTCAAGGCTTAAAAATCCTTCTTTAACCTGTCTCCTCCCCTTCATCTACACTGATTGAAATGGATTTAACAGGTGACATCAATAAGGGATCATAGCTTTCACCTGGATTCACCTGGTCAGTCTATGTCATGGAAAGAGCAAGTGTTCCTAATGTTTTGTACTCTCAGTGTACATAAAGCAGACATTGCCATTGGCTGCACAGATTCGCATTAAGAGGTCCGATCCAGCCTTGAATGATTTTATTTCCTTGAATGATTTTTCCATTTGGGCATTATTATTTCTATATAGCCTACACTTTCTCATTCTGAACTTCTAACACAAGTGGGGTGTCACGATCGTCTTGAACGGGAGCAGACCAATACGCAGCGCGTTGAGTGAACATAATGACTTTAATGAGAAAAGCACGTAAATACAAAACAAAAGACGACTCGTGAAGTCCACAGTGAACACGACTGAAACGGAAACATGGAACACTGGAACAAAAACCCACAACTAACACAAGAAAACCTACAGCTTAAATATGGCTCCCAATCAGAGATAACGAGCCGACAGCTGACACTCGTTACCTCCGATTGGGAGTCATTAACCAACCTAGAAACACAACCCACAGACATGCAAACATAGAAATAAACGTGACAGAAATGCAAACATAAAAAATCACCCAAAACCCAACAAAACAAAATACACCCTGGCTCAAATACACAAGTCCTGGAGCCAGAGTGTCACAGTACCCCCCCTTAAAGGTGCGAACTCCGGGCGCACCAGCATACAGTCTAGGGGAGGGTCTGGGTGGGCGTCTGTCCACGGTGGCGGTTCTGCCCCTGGTCGTGGTCCCCACCCCACCTTAGTCACCACCCGCTTCCCTAGCCTCCTCCACATGACCACCCCCCAACTAAACCCCACTGGGTTAAGGGGCGGCACCGGACTAAGGGGCAGCACCGGACTAAGGGGCAGTACCGGACTAAGGGGCAGTACCGGACTAAGGGGCAGTACCAGGCTGAATGGCGGATCCTGGCTGGTCGGCTCTGGCGGATCCTGGCTGGACGGCTCTGGCGGATCCCGGCTGGACGGCTCTGGCGGATCCCGGCTGGACGGCTCTGGCGGATCCCGGCTGGACGGCTCTGGCGGATCCCGGCTGGACGGCTCTGGCGGATCCCGGCTGGACGGCTCTGGCGGATCCCGGCTGGACGGCTCTGGCGGATCCCGGTTGGACGGCTCTGGCGGATCCCGGTTGGACGGCTCTGGCGGATCCTGCTGGACGGCTCTGGCGGATCCTGGCTGGACGGCTCTGGCGGATCCTGGCTGGACGGCTCTGGCGGATCCTGGCTGGACGGCTCATGGCTGGCTGACGGATCTGGCTGCTCATGGCTGGCTGACGGATCTGGCTGCTCATGGCTGGCTGACGGATCTGGCTGCTCATGGCTGGCTGACGGATCTGGCTGCCCATGGCTGGCTGACGGATCTGGCTGCTCATGGCTGGCCGACGGATCTGGCTGCTCATGGCTGGCCGACGGATCTGGCTGCTCATGGCTGGCCGACGGATCTGGCTGCTCATGGCTGGCCGACGGATCTGGCTGCTCATGGCTGGCTGACGGATCTGGCTGCTCATGGCTGGCTGACGGATCTGGCTGCTCATGGTTGGCTGACGGATCTGGCTGCTCATGGCTGGCTGACGGATCTGGCTGCTCATGGCTGGCTGACGGATCTGGCTGCTCATGGCTGGCTGACGGATCTGGCTGCTCATGGCTGGCTGACGGATCTGGCTGCTCATGGCTGGCTGACGGATCTGGCTGCTCATGGCTGGCTGACTGATCTGGCTGCTCATGGCTGGCTGAAGGATCTGGCTGCTCATGGCTGGTGGAAGGCTCTGGCTGATCCTGTCTGGCGGAAGGCTCTGGCTGATCCTGTCTGACAGAAGGCTCTGGCTGATCCTGTCTGACAGAAGGCTCTGGCTGATCCTGTCTGGCAGAAGGCTCTGGCTGATCCTGTCTGGCAGAAGGCTCTGGCTGATCCTGTCTGGCAGAAGGCTCTGGCTGATCCTGTCTGGCAGAAGGCTCTGGCTGATCCTGTCTGGCGGAAGGCTCTGGCTGATCCTGTCTGGCGGAAGGCTCTAGCGGCTCCGGTCTGGCGGACGGCTCTGAATGCTCATGGCAGACGGGCGGCTTAAGCGCCTTTGGGCAGACGGGCAGTTCAGGCCCCGTTGGGCAGACGGCAAACTCTGGCCGTCTGGGGCGCACCGTAGGCCTGGTGCGTGGTGCCGGAACTGGAGGTACCGGGCTGAGGACACGCAACTCAGGGCTAGTGCGGGGAGAAGCAACAGGACGCAAGGACTCTGGGGACACACAGGAGGCTTGGTGCGTGGTGTAGGCACAGGTGGTACTGGGCTGGAACGGGGAGGTGACGCCGGAAATACCGGACCGTGCAGGCGTACTGGCTCCCTTGAGCACTGAGCCTGCCCAACCTTACCTGGTTGTATGCTCCCCGTCGCCCGACCAGTACGGGAAGGAGGAATAACCCGCACCGGGCTATGTAGGCAAACCGGGGACACCATGCGTAAGGCTGGTGCCATGTAAGCCGGCCCGAGGAGACGCTCTGGTGGCCTGATGCGTTGGGCCGGCTTCATGACATCCGGCTCAACGCTCAATCTAGCCCGGCCGATACGAGGAGCTGGAATGTACCGCACCGGGCTATGCCTGCGTACAGGAGACACCATGCGCTCTACTGCGTAACATGGTGTCTGCCCGTACTCTCGCTCTCCACGGTAAGTCCAGGGAGTAGGCGCAGGTCTCCTACCTGACTTCGCCACACTCCCTTTTAGCCCCCCCCCAATAAATTCTTGGGTAGTACCCACGGGCTTCCAGCCTCGACTCCGCGCTGCCTCCTCATACCACCTCCTCTCGGCTGCAGCTGCCTCCAGCTCTTCACGAGGGCGGCGATATTCTCCCGGTTGTGCCCAAGGACCCTTTCCATCCAAAATCTCCTCCCATGTCCAAGAATCCTTGATAGGCGTCCATAAATCCTGTGTAGGTAGGTCCTGTTGCCGCTTGACACGCTGCTTGGTCCTTTTATGGTGGGTTTTTCTGTCACGATCGTCTTGAACGGGAGCAGACCAATACACAGCGCGTTGAGTGAACATAATGACTTAATGAGAAAAGCACGTAAATACAAAACAAAAGACGACTCGTGAAGTCCACAGTGAACACGACTGAAACGGAAACATGGAACACTGGAACAAAAACCCACAACTAACACAAGAAAACCTACAGCTTAAATATGGCTCCCAATCAGAGATAACGAGCCGACAGCTGACACTCGTTACCTCCGATTGGGAGTCATTAACCAACCTAGAAACACAACCCACAGACATGCAAACATAGAAATAAACGTGACAGAAATGCAAACATAAAAAATCACCCAAAACCCAACAAAACAAAATACACCCTGGCTCAAATACACAAGTCCTGGAGCCAGAG